CATCTCTAGTCCTGGTTCTGTTTCTTTTTATCCCCTCTTCCCTCCCCTGAGTGCAAATGCAACCAGTAGAGAAAAGAAACTGTACCGTAACCAATCCCTCGCCTGAAAAAAGGAATGATTGACTGACTGCCTCCTTTTTCCTCCATGCATCCCTTCCCTGTCTCCTCCCACACCCCAGCTGCCTGGGGACAGGCAGTTTTATGGGACAGGAACCCTCCAGCTTCCATCCTGCCAGCTCCAGGTTGGAAGTCCTGGGGAAAATTATCCCAGCACTTCAATATATTCCAGAGAAATGGCATCCCAAGGTTTCCAGGGAGCAGCAAGTTTGGTTTGGCTTTGTAGCATTGTTGAGTGATCAGCTTGCCCTTTCCTGAGCTGGAAAACCATTGGATGTGGGCAGGGATAAGGGATGAAGGATGAGGGATGAGCTTTCCATGGTGCCACAGCCAGAGATGGCCTGGGGGTTAAATGATGTCTCTGAGCTGTGGTGGACACCCAGGGAAAGCTCCTGCTCATGGCACAGGGAGAGTTCACTGTGCTTGGGAGCCCAGGTGGGGGATCTGGGACAGATCTTGCTGAGAAATCAGCATAGGATGGGCAGCAGTGAGGACCCAGTTCCAGGCAGGGAATTTACTGGAAAACAGAAGATGAAGGAGAAGGCTGGAAGCAGCCAGCCCAGAGTTTCCTCTTCTTCTCCACTCCAGCCCAGGTGTTTCCCACACCTGACTGAGGGTTAAGAGCTCAGAAGTTCTGCAGAGGAAGAGGAGACCCCACTCCCCAGCCTGGGAGCAGGAAGGAGCCAGGGGAGGACATTGGCTCCAGTTCCCATTGGTGTCTCTCAGCAGCCTCTAACTCAGCTCTGGGCTGGGAAAGCTGGGTGGGATTTTATCCCAGCAGTTACCAGGGACAGCAGTAGATGGTTTGGCCTGGGTGAGTTGTCTCCTCCTCCTCCCCCTCCTCCATCAAAGCTTTACACAGGAACTGAGATCTGTGTCAGGGCTTTGGGCTGGTGGGAAGGTTCCTGCTCAGGAAGGGGAGTTTAAATGGGTGCTTAGGTTTTCCCTGCTGGTGTAGAGATGATGACATTATCCAACTTTTCCAGGGGTTAAACTTTAATTAATAACATCCCTGGGTCTCCTCAGATGCCAGGCAGCAGAGGTTTGCACACTGTATAAGCAGGCAGCTCACTGGGAAAACAAAAGGAGATCGGCACAGATCTGCTCCCAGTTCCAACAGGCACAAAAAGGTGAAGCAGGAATTTCTTGCTGTTTTGCACCCCTTGTTTTTCAAGCCAGGATTCATCCACCACCACCGTGGTGAAGGGAGATACCCTCAGCATTGGCTGCTCTGAGGGACTTTTCCCAAACCTCTGCAATTCCCAGTTGAGGTTGGCTTGGTGAGAAACAAGCCCCACCAAAAGTGAGGGAGGAGCAGATTCCCTTCCCACCTCCTGCCAAGGGCAATGCTGGGCTCAGCTTTTTCTGGATCAGGAATTTGCAGAATCCCAGCCTCAGCTGGAAGTGGGAGCAGTCCCAGTGCATCCCTCAGCAAACCCCCCACTACTGCCTTCTCCCTAGTGCCATCACCCAAACCCAAAGTGCTGCTTCCTGGAAGGACAGCTGGGCTGTGTTCCCCCAGCCCTGTCCCATAACTCTGCCCCCCAGCTCTCCCTGGCATGGTGACCTGACTGGTTTGGGGGATGATGGGGACCTTCATCCCCCACCCCAGCCAAGCCCTGCCACCCCTTCTCCCCCGGGGGACATCAGGCATTCCCCAGGGGACATCAATCATTCCCAGGGCCACCACGGGCCACCCCTGCAGGAGGAGGAGAAGTTGGGCGCCGAAACAGCAACGGAAGCGGAGCCTCCTTTCTCCTGCCCCTCTTGAGTTTGGTTTTGTTTCCTGGAGAAATCTGATTAACCAGATCTCTGTTTTCTTGTCTGCTTTCCCTTCTCTCTCTCCCCTCCTTTTCATTTGCTCCATTGTGTTGCCTTTTCCCCCACCCCTTCCCCATTTTCCCCGCCTCAATCCGATGGGATTTCTGTGTCCTGGTGCTTTTGCCTCCTCCCTGTGGTCCCAGCGGGCGCATCAGTTACACAGACATGTATGAGATGCTGAGACACATGTCCCCACCTCTAGGCCTTGGGAAGAAATGCCCAGCTCGTGTTGCCTATAAGGTAGAAAACCTCCCCAGGAGCTCCTGCCCAACCACCAGCTTTCTGTGCTGTGGCTGAAGTGGGGTTTCTGTGGCATTGGTGTTGTTCTTCTTGACTCTTCTGGTGCTTTCTCTGCTTTCCAAGCAAGATTTTGGATCTTCTGATTTTTTTTTCTTTTTCATTTTTATATATTTATATATATAATTTTTTGGAGTAACTTTTTTTCTGGTCTTTGAAACTCTGGCACATCAATTTGTCTTTCTGTCTTTGCTCTCTCCCTATATCAGTGTTTCTCTCTCTTTTCTCATTCTGCTTCCATTTAGGTTAATTTGGGGAGGGACCATGCTAATAAGCAAATTACCCCCCATTAGATCCCCATTTTTCTTCCTGGGGCTCTTTGTCTCACTAACCCTTCAGTAGAATGTTGTCTTTTCCTCCTCTTAATTAGATTGGAGTCATTAGAGTAGGCAGTACTGTAGGAGTGAGCAAGCAATTAAACAGAGACTACACCAGAAGGGCTTCTTAAACACCCCCGTAGAAGAAATTACTTTGTTTGAACAGAAAACATTTAGGACAGGGAGATGGAGAAATCACTCCAGCTTATTGCTGATTTGGCAAAACTTTTTAATTGAGTCACCAGAATGAATTCTATCCCAAATCCTGCCTGATGAAATCTGTCCCAAAGGCTCCTGCCTGGGTGGATATTCCGATGGAAATGGAGCAGACCCAGTAAAGGCCAGGCTGCCCTCCCAAAAACTCTCAGGGTGCTTGGAAACTTCCATTCCAAGGCAATTCCTTGGAAGTTTCACCACTGAACCTCACAGTTTAGAGGGAGAGGTTGCTCAGATCCGTTTTTCATTGGTGTGGTTGAGGATCCATCAAACCCAGCAGATTTTTTTGGCTGCTGGCGTCACTCCAGCCACTCCCAAACACCAAAACTCAGTCCAGTGGATCCACATCACAACATCCCCTCCTGTACTGAGGGACTTTCTACTGAGACCAAATAAACCCAAGATTTTTGTGAAGAGGCTCAGGCTAGACCCAAACCTGGGACTGATTTATTCAGGCAAGAAGAAATTCAGATAAATCTTCCTACAAGATCCTTCATCAGTATGCCAGGATTTAAAATAAAAGGAAAACGAAACATAAGGTTAAAGCTCTCCACTTAGGTGGCTTTGCTATATTTGATTTGTTTCTGGCCACCCTAACTGAGCTTGAGGAACCCAACTAGATCAAAATTCCAGGTCTCAGCTATTTTAGACACCAATTATCCACAGAAATCCAAGGATTTGCCACCTGTGAGTTTCCACTGGTTTAGGAGAGCTGTGTCCTGCTGAAAGGAGGTGTTTGCAGGTGGGCAACCAGATCTGCTCTGGGGCTGTACCAGAAGGATAAAACTATTTTTTCCCCCTAAATCTTGTAGAATTCAAAAAGGAAGAAAACAAAACGGGAAAATAGATCATGTGTTAAAATAGGCATTTAAAATAAGATTTTGGGCTGGTTTTCATAGCAGACTTTGTGCCCACAGGCATTTCTTCAGCCTGAGGATTTCCTGAGATCTCCTCTGATTTGTCTGTCCCTATAGGACAAACCCACAGAACCAGGGTACATAGGAATGGCTTCTTTTTGTAACCCAGACTCCTGATTTTTAAAGATATCATTAATTTTTGCCCATCTCAGAAGAAACCTCTGGATTGTGTCTGTGTGCCACAAGCACAGGCAGAGGAGGGTTCAAACAGCTCCAGTGGGGTGAACATCAGATTTCTCTGGGTTTGGAGATGATCACATTCCTCTTCCCCCTTATCAAAGAGCCCTGAACTACAAAATATGGATTTAAGACAAGATCAGGATTTCCCCCATGGATTAAAGCTGCACTTTGGGCTGATCTCTCACCCAGTTATTGCTGGTAAAATTAACCCCTCATGGGGTAGGACTGGTTTTTGCTCCTTCCCTCCTGCACTTCTCTGTGCAGCACATCCATGGGTTGGTGCTGGGCGTCCCCACGACTGTGGTGGGATGTGGCACCCCCTGCCCTGCTCCTGCCAGGTGTCCCTCGTGGTGCCACTCGTGTGACAGCCACTCCCAAGAGGATGAGAGACTCGGGAGGACACTGAAATCCCCCTGGGCACTGGCACCTCCCCAGAGCCTGGAGAGGGACATCGATCCCCTGCTCCTCAGTCAGTGCCAACAGCAGCCAGGGCTTTGTCTCTGCCCTATTTTCACCCTCTCCCTCTGGTTTTTAAAACCCCTGACTGTTCTGTCCAGCAAAAGCTCTTTTGCCACACATATCCCCCCTTTTTCTTTCCATGTCTACTTTCCCCAGTCCTCGTCAGAGGTTTTGTGTGTTTTCCCCACATCTTTGTTGCCTTCTCAGTACATCCACACTGGCTTTTGTTTGGATTTTCCCTTCTTTGCAGCCTCTTTGGCTGCTGTCCTTCCTTTCTGCTGTTTTCTGGTTCCCCTTTCTCAACTGTTCTCCTTGGTCAGCCTGACCAGCCTCTGCAGTTCCGTGTGTGTGGCTTTGCTGCTCCCTGAGGTGCACGGGATCCTCGGGCATCAGGGAGCTCTATCCTGCCCTGGGCTGGGGGAGGAGGCTGGAACCCCCAAATTCCTCTGGTCAGTTCTGGGCCACCCACAGTGAGTAGGGCATGGAGGGGCTGGAGCATGTCCAGGGAAGGGAACGGAGCACCAGGAGGGGCTGAGGGAGCTGGGAAGGAGCTCAGCCTGGAGAAAAGGGGGATCAGGGGGGACCCTGTGGCTCTGCACAGCTCCTGACAGGAGGGGACAGCCGGGGGGTTGGGCTGGGAACAGGGAACAGGGACAGGAGGAGAGGGAACAGCTCAGGGTGGACAGCAGCAGGAATTTCTCCACAAAGAAGTTTTCACAAAGAGTTTCCAAGCCCTGGAAGAGGCTGCTCAGGGCAGTGGTGGAATCACCACTGCTGGAGGGATTTCAAACCATACAGATGTGGATGTGGCACTCGGGGACATGGGTCAGAATGGCCTTGCAGTGCTGGATCAGTGTTTGGACTCGATGATCTTGGAGGTCTTCTCCATCCTAAATGATTCTATGATTCCCAGAATTTTAAGTCTTTTCTATCCCATCAGATGAAAAGGGGGAAGAAAACCTCTTTGATTTCACTCTGCTGTCTTAGGATTTGCTCACTGTCCTTGCCCATGGCACAGGGTGGAAGTGGATGAGCTTTGAGGTCCCTTCCAACCCAAACCATCCCAGGATTCTGTGATTCCTGGGATGATCTCAGAGCTGGGCTGCTCCACCAGGATGCAGCGAGAGGGATGAAAGCCATGGAGAGCAAGCAGAATTAAACCAGAGTCAAATCATTCCAACTAGGTCGGGGTGAATTATTCATAGCAAATAATTTATTCACCGAACTCGACCTCATTTCCCACAGCAGCGCTCCACTGTGCCAAATTTATTCCTGTCTGGGGATCATTCCCAGAGCAGCTCCTGTCCCAGAGGCTGATGGGGTGCTCTTAATAATTCAAATCTGTCGGGGTGCCAGTAGTTTTCCAGGGACTGTGTGCTCCCCTTTCTGCTGCCTCTGGGTAAATGTGCCAGGGAAGAGGATTTGGGATCTTGTAACTTTTTCTGGGTCAGGCTGGAATCCAACAAGACACCTTTAATCCCGGGATGAATTCTCCCCCTATTCCTCCAACACTTTCCCTGCCTTTTGGTCCATTATCCAAGCAGCTCCTGAGCAAAGCTGAAAGGAGATTTACTCCTGTCACAGAGATTTGATTCCTCGTTAGCGCTGCCTTTGTTAATTGGCAATTAAACAGCGCCGGGGCCGCGTCCTGCCCGCGCCCCGAGCGCGCCTCCCGACCCCGTCTCTAATCAGCCGCTCATTATCAGCGCTGCGTTAATTAGCAGGCTCCGGAGACCACGGCGCCGCTCCTGCCTCTGGGGCCCTCTCCTGCAGAAGGAGCATTAACGAGCTCCAAATCCGCCTAATTAAATCTGGGGGCTGCGGGAGGGATCCCCCCGTGCGGCCGGGAGAGCGGAGCGGGGACTCCTCCTGCTGCTGGCAGCGCATCCTCAGCCGCCCGCAGGGGCTGGGAATTCCTTCCCTGGCAGCTCAGGGCTCCTGGGACCCATTTCCACCTTTTTTCCTGCTGCCCATCATCAATTCACCCGGGTTTTCCCACCTTTTTTTCCCGCTGGTCATCATTAATTCACCTGGGTTGTGGCTGCGATTGCACGTTCTTCATCAGTTCAGGGAAGGAGCAGCAGGCTCCTAAAATTTCCTTCTGGGTTCCAGAAAGATGGGAAATGATCAAAATTAGAGTTGGGAATTTTTTAATGTTTGTTTTGGTTCTATTATTTTTGGTTTTGTTGGGATTTTTTTCATAGTTCTTTCTTTTCCCCATCTTTCCCCCTTTTTTTCCTCCTCCTGACTCTTTTCCCTTCCCCTCACCCCTTTCCCTCTCAATTTTTTCCATCCTGTTTTAAACCATGAGCTACAGCTCTGACACAGCCTTGAAGCACAACTTCAGGCAGAAGAAAAGGCAAAAAATTGGGAAAAAGTTAATTTTTTTAAAATTGAGTACACTCTAAGCAACTTGTTCAATTTTTTTTTTTAACGTATATTCTTATCCCTAAGTCTTTGAGAAAACTTGAGGTTTTCTCTTCTAGCCTGGTTCAAGATGGAAATCAAAAGTTCTTGATTTAAGTTTTTCAAGGAGAAATTTTGGGTCAAGCAGAATATTTTGAGTTTGAAAAATGTTACCAATTTCAATTGGATTCCTTTTAAAGGGATCTGCTAGAAATGGAGAGGAATTAAACACAGATAAAATTAGAAAATAGCCTGGAAAGGCTTGAAATTCCACAGTCTGCACAAGGAGATATTTTTATGTATAAGGTTATTTTGTAATGTTGAAAAAAGTTAATATAACTTTTGTTTGCAGTTTCAGCCTTTTGGCTGCATTTTTAGCATTGGGAAAACACACCAGGAAAGCTCAAGGATCAAATCCCTCCTGGCTGTGCCCGTGTCTGGCTGAGTCCTGGCTCCTCTGGGTGCCCACGGTGATTTGGGGCATTGATTTGGGATGTGGGGTGAGCAATGTCTCACCCAGCCGTGGTGGCAGAGCTATTTTGGATCCAAGCTGAATCAATTCCATTCTTCTAACTGCTCCATCCTCAGCAGGAGCTCTCCAGACATGCCAGAAATTCAATTTGAAAAGAGATTTTCTCAAGCCAGGAGCTTCCAAGGCAGGAATTTTCCCTGCGTTTGGGAGGATCTCGGGTGGTTTTAGCTGAGGTCTCTTGGCTTTGGCTGCTGCAGGTTCGGAGGCATTTCTCTCTTATTTTATGGCTTTTTTTTTGGCCAAGAAATGGGCAGCTGGAAGGTGCAACCTGCAGCTCACCTTGGCAGGGCAAGAACTCCTCAAGTGCTGTCCAAAGGGAGGTGAATCCCAGTTTGGCACCCTGAGGGGACACAGGGACTCGTCCCATCCCATCTTCCCTCTCCTGAGCTGCCCATCCCTGATGGAAGAGCAACTCAACCCCCCCTTTCTGCTCCTTGCTGGGTTCTCACACTGGGAATTCCGATGGCCTGGAGGTGTCTGAGTTACCTGTTTGACCAGTTTGGATACTGGGATGGAGAAAAAAGCAGTGCAGGGGGAAATGCAGGGAGGAGGGCAAGGATGTGGGGTAGGGAGAGCCTCTTCCAGGTTCCTATTGGCAGCAAAATGTGGGGTTTGCTCAGCCAGACTTCCAAAAGTGGGAATCCCCTGGGAAAATCTTGCCCTAAATCCTCTGTCCCTGGCTAAAATTGAGGAGGAGAGCACTGCTCATACAGCTGTGGGTGGCCTGTGTTCTGCATCCCTATCCTTTGGGAATTCACCTGGGAAATCAGCTGGGGAGACCTGAGATGTGGTTTTTGGTGGTGGTTTTTGGGAGGATAGAGCTCTCCTGTGGGGAATTGTTCCTCGTTTGCCTGTTCTTCACTTGCATGCATCTTCTTTCTCTCTGCATCCCTTACCTCTCCCACTCCAGTGGGATTCTGGGACTGTGATTTTTAACTGTGGGCTCTCATTTATGTTTTTTTGCAGCTTTTTGTGTGCTGAGGGCAGAATTGGAATGAAATCTCGTTTCATTTGACATGAGTGAACAGAAAAAAAAAAAACAAACCTGTGGTGTTGCCAGCACTTGATACTGTCACTGAGAAAGAGGCTGGACTTGGATTTCCCTGTTTCTGGGGCTGGGCAGACACAGAATAACTTCTGGGCATGCTGTGAGGGAGATCACAATGGTTTGTCCCAGACTTCAGTGACAGGGACATTATTACAGTGGTCTCTTTTCCCTGCAGGGTGCAGTGAGAGCTGCAAATGTGTCAATAGGTAAACAAGGAGATTTCAGCTCCTCTGAGCAGATTTGACACTGGACCAGCACTTTGTGCCCTTTGTCTGTTCATATCAACACCAACAAGTGTCCCCTTGGGGGGGAATTGTCTGCTTGGCTGGCAGAAGGTGCCAGGGTTGGGGTCTGCCCTCCCTGAGGGCATGGAAGTGTCCAGGGCCAGGCTGGATGGAGCTTGGAGCAGCCTGGGCTAGGGAGAGGTCCCTGCCCATGGCAGGGGCTGGGATGAGATGATTTAAGGTCTTTTCCAGCTCCAACCACTCTGGGATTCTAAGGAAGCTCAGTCCATACATTGTGGAAGTTGGAAGTTTCTCAAAGCAGGAAGTTTATCCCAGAGAAGGAAAACTTGGCCAAGTCTTTGTGCCCCAGCCAGGGCTTGGTTTGGGGAAAACCCAGGAGCAGCACTCGGGGCTCCCCCTGAAGCTCCAGCAGGTCCCTGCTCTCACCTGCCCCTCGCTCCCTTCCCCAGCAGGAAAATGCCCATCAGCAGAGGAGTTTCCCAGCAAAATCTGCATCTCTGACAACAGTGCCAGGCTTGTGCCCACTGCTGCAGTGCCCAGAGCCCTGGGGTGAGGGCAGCTGGCATCTCTGGCAGCCTTTAGGGGCTGTTGTTGAACAAAGAGCAGGTTTCTGGGCAGGCAGAGGATGGAAATAACAGCCCCAGCAGCTTTCAGAAGGGATGGAATCTCTCCCCAGCAAGGGGCCCAGGCCAGGCTGCCACTGTGTTTTTGAGGCTGTGCTCAGGCAGATCAACACCCAGGGACTTCCTTGGGCTGCAAATCCCTCTGGAGAAGAGAAACCCCGAGGTTTGTCTGATGCAGATCCAGACAGGGATGTTTTCAAGCAGCTACTGAAAGCTGAGGAGTCATCAGGCTGCTGAAGGAGGAGAATTCCATCCTTTTAGCAAGGCTTGGGGCATGGAGCTGCTCTGCTGCAAGCAGGTCAAAGCTTTCCAAAGCAATTTCAGGTGCTTCCTGCTCAGGAGAATGATGGGCTTGCCCTGCCAGAGGTGCTGGTGATGGGGAATGAGTCGCTCCCAGCTCTGAAGATCGTGGAAAATACTGATCCTGAGGGATGGTTCCATGTTTGGATTGGAAGAACAGGGTGGGAATTACAGACCTGGCCATGTTAATCCAGCCTCTCCTCTCTGGGAAGGTGTGGAGGGACTGTGCAGCTCAGTGACTTGAAGGGGACAGGATCCAGAATCCAGGTGTCCCCAGCAGGAAGGACATTGTCACCTTTACCTGTCCCCAACCATTCCACAGCTTGAGCCACATTCCAGGGCTCAGCAGCTGTTCCCAAGTGTGCTTCAGGCTGGGACCAAAATACACCATCCCAGCCCCTCCCGGGACAGCAGAGCTCCTGCACAAAGCCCTCACCTTGTCACTGTCACTGGGAGTGCCTTCCTCACCTCCTGCTCCCAGCAAGGACAGCTGGCAGGGGCACAGCCACACCCAGGGTGGAGCTGCAGGGTGGCAGATGCAAACCTTCCACCATCCATTCAGTCAGTGGTGCCAGGCCCCATGTTGTCCCATTTTGGGAATTAGGTAAAGGATTTAGTGAGGCCAGCTGGTGTAGGGAAAGGTGGAGAGGTGGATTTATGATTTTTATCTCCTCACCACGCTGCTTTGGAAGGTGGGACAGGTACAAGCCACGTGTCTGGTGCTGATTTTTTTGCTTCTTTTTTGCCAGGGTCAGGATTAAATCAGGAGACATTTCTTGTTGGGACTCAGATATTTATGAGTTCTTATCTATGTTACAGTCTCACAGACCGTGAGTTCTGCAGCACTTCACTCTAACAAATTAAAATGGAGCCCCATCTCTCTCTATAAGACCTTTTAAGGATAAACTAAGCAATTAAGCAATGACACCTAAATTATTTTTACTTTTAACCCAATAACCAACCACCCATGCCCTGCAATGTGGATTTTTCTATCCAATTACACAAATTGTGTAATTCTGTGAAGAATAAGGTGAAGAAGGAGGTGAAGAAGAAGGAGCAGCCTCTGCCCTAAAACCTCCATCTTGCTTTATATATCTGTTACTATATTCTAAACCCTTAAACTCTGAGTTTCCCACCCTGTGATATTACACATTTCTATCCAAACTCCACCCCCACAATCCCAGTTCTGTCATTCCATTCTGGAAGCTTCTCCCCGGCCTCAGGTCAGTGCAGTGTTCTCCTGGGGGTCAGTGCTTGGCAGCACAGAAAGGCTGAAATTCTCAGTGACCAGGGTTCCAACAGTCTGGGTGGTGCAGACACCACTGGAGACACTCAGGAAATGGGATGAGAGCCTCCCACCTGGCTTCTTTTGGGGGAGCTCTGTAGGATTGCAGGGCAGTGCTGGCAAATCACTCATTAAACCACTGAAGTTCCACCCCAAACCTGCTCCTGGACAGGAGCTGGCGTCCCTGTGCAGAAGAATTTCAGCTCAGCACACAAAAAGTTCCTTCCTGTTTGTATCTGGGGGGTGCAGAGAGGGGCAGGCGAGGGTGGGGGGAGGACTCCTGGCCCCCACTCACAGCCAGTCCTGTCTGTCCCCAGCGCCTGGTGAGGATGAACATGCCCATCTCCCCCGAGGATTTAACTGTGCACTTCACCTCCACGCTGATGGCCCTGATCCGCACGGCCCTGGAGATCAAACTGGCCTCAGGTGACAGGGACGGGGTGGCTGGGTCACCTGGGGATCAAACTGGCCTCAGGTGACAGGGATGGGGTGGCTGGGTCACCTGGAGATCAAACTGGCCTCAGGTGACAGGGAGGGGGTGGCTGGGTCACCTGGAGATCAAACTGGCCTCAGGTGACAGGGAGGGGAGGCTGGGGGGTGGCTGGGTCACCTGGAGGATGCAGCAAACACACCAAGGGCAGCTCAGCTTTGTGGAATCCTCTGTGACTGACACGGTCCCACAGGGATTAGGGAAGCTGAAGTCTCCTCTAGGTGTGAATTTCATTATGCTGCAGGTTTGCTGTATGTGGAAAAAACCCCAAAACAGCACCAATAAGAGACCAGTGCCCTGCCTGGCCTCTTCCAGAGCTTTTCCCAGCTTTGTCAGCCTCCAGCCTGTGCCTTGTAGGATGGGAGAGCATTTTCTGCCATCTGAGCTCCAGAAAACCAGGAGAAAATGAGAGTTTTCTGAGAGCACATTAGCTCACAGCCCAGCTCCTGACCTTGAGATGGGCTTGCTTGGTCACAGCACGGTGCCAGGAGCACCAAGGACACAGATTTATCCCTGGATGAGCCATCCACTGAAGAGTTTGACTTAATCCTTGTGGGTCCCATCCAGCTCAGAGTATTCAGTGAAGTCTGTGGGCTTGGTTTCCTCCCAAAACCATGGAATTTGCCCCAGGTGGGAATCCCATCTTCCTGTGCCAACCCGTGAGGACAGGGGAGTTTGGGGAGAGGACAGAGGGGTCCTGAGCATCCCTGGCAGTGAAATGTGGGAATCCTTGCCCATCCCAGCTAAGAACCCTGCGAGGGGAAGCCCAGGATGTGTCCTCCTTGCTCTGAGTCAGAAATCAGCTTCCACACCTCCCTTCTGAGCTATTCCAGCCCTGCTCTGTGCTGGCAGCAAGGAAGGAACTCCAAGTGCCGTGCAGCACATTCCACCTTGAGATAAAATGTAATTATGGAAGTGGTTAATCAGGCGTTCCCTGGCCTCCCAATTAACTTTGCAGTGTAACAAAATGCATCGGCCTTTTCTCTGGGTCGTTACCCCATCTCATCAGCCTCCTGGGCTCCTGCTCACCTGGCCTAAGCACCCTGACACCTAATTTCAAAGTCAACAGGAGGGAACCAGGCTCCCAGGAGCAGGGGGCAAGGCTGGATTGGGCTTTCCTGAGCAGTTTTAGGCCAGCACAAACAGCTGAGTTCATCTCCTCCCTCCTGTGCCACCTAAACTCTGCCTGCAATGCTTTGGGGAGGCACTGCTGGAAGAAGACAACATTTTGAGGTGCCTGGGGCTCCCCAGAGGAGTGGGATCAAGACAAGGATCAGCCATTCATTCCTACAGATGCTTTTAGGACTTGCTGTGACTTTAAGAGCTAGCACCTTGTTTGAGGAGTAACTCCTAGATAAGGATGCTGAGAGTTTAATTTTCAGTTTCTGGTTACCTGTCAGCTTTTTTCAACTGAAAAAGCTGCCCCCACCCTTTAGAAACCTGGAAGGCAGCCAAGAGAAGAACTCAGTTGATACTCTGGATTATTTCTGTGGTTTAGCTCTGCTCTGGGGTGTGAGGTTCTGACCTGTTTGGTTGTTATGAGCTCCCTTTGAATAGGTTCCATGTGCTACATTTAATTGAGTCTTTAGTGGGTTTAACAGGCCCGTAGTAAACCTCCCTAATGAGTTCCCATGTGGGAGTTCAAACCACGGTGTAACACAGTACCCAGAGCCTCCTCCCTTACTCTGCTCTTAGGAAAATAATCTCTGTCATTCAGATGAACTTTTAATTGCCTGCTGTGTGGGGAATTCAGCTGGGAGCTGGCCTGGGGCTCCCCCAGCCTTAATCACTTTCCACGTGTGCATTTAGGCCTGGCTTTGGCCCTTGGAGCAGAGTTTGGCTCTGCTCTACCTTAGGGTGAGGCGCTGGGGCAGAACTCTGAATTTGTGGCATTGCCAGGGGGTTTGGGAAGAGCTGGTGGCAGAGGGTTTGTCATCCAGCAGGACATTGGAGGGAGAACCTGACCGTGGTTAGAGGATCTTTAAGGGCTTTTCCAACCCAACCCAATCTGTGGTTATGGGATTTTGTGATTCATGTCCAGGCCCTTTGCATCCCACCTGGGAGGTGCTGCTGCCTCCATGGGAAGGGGCAAAGGAAGAGGCACCTGCGGTTTAAGCATGGAATGAGTTTGAGTTCATATTTAAATCCCAGCTCAGGGTGCCCAGGGCGAGGCAAGGCTGGTCCTGCTGAGTTCCTGCACTTCTGTCACGGAGAATTCACAGATTCCCTGGGCAGGGAAGGGCTGTGCTGGCTCACCCTTCCCAGGGAACGGGAAGAGGGGATGCAAACAGTGGGATGTGCTCCAGGACAGGGGTTCACTCCTCTCCTCTCCCTCCCTGGCTGCAGGCGGTGTGAAGCAGCACCAGTGTGATGCTGAGCTGAGGAAGGAGATCTCGCTGGTCTGGCCCAACCTGTCCCAGAAGACTCTGGATTTGCTGGTGCCTCCTCACAAACGTAAGTGCTGCAAGCACTGGGTCCATCCAGACACCCAGGAACCCCAGATTAGGTTTGCCCCTTATTGCCTGCTCTATCCAACCCAAATTAGGTTTGTCCCTCCTCATCTGCTCTTTCCAACCCAAATTAGGTTTGTCCCTCCTCATCTGCTCTGTCCAACCCCAGATTGGGTTTTTCCCTTCTCATCTGCTCTATCCAACCCCAGATTAAATTTCTCCCTCCTCATCTGCTCTATCCAACCCCACATTGGGTTTTTCCCTCCTTGCCTGCTCTATCCAACCCCAGATTGGGTTTTTCCCTCCTCATCTGCTCTGTCCAACCCCAGATTGGATTTTTCCCTCCTTGCCTGCTCTATCCAACCCCAGATTGGGTTTCTCCCTCCTCATCTGCTCTATCCAACCCCAGATTGGATTTTTCCCTCCTCATCTGCTCTATCCAACCCCAGATTGGGTTTCTCCCTCCTCATCTGCTCTATCCAACCCCAAATTGGGTTTTTCCCTCCTTGCCTTCTCTATCCAACCCCAGATTGGGTTCTTCCCTCCTTGCCTGCTCTGTCCCAAGCCCAGATTGGGTTTCTCCCTCCTCATCTGCTCTATCCAACCCCACATTGGGTTTTTCCCTCCTCATCTGCTCTATCCAACCCCAGATTGGGATTTTCCCTCCTTGCCTGCTCTGTCCAACCCCAAATTGGGTTTTTCCCTCGTCATCTGCTCTGTCCAACCCCACAATGGATTTTTCCCTCCTCATCTGCTCTATCCAACCCCAGATTGGGTTTCTCTCTCCTCATCTGCTCTATCCAACCCCAGACTGTGTTTTTCCCTCCTTGCCTGCTCTATCCAACCCTATATTGGGTTTCTCCCTCCTCATCTGCTCTATCCAACCCCACATTGGGTTTTTCCCTCCTCATCTGCTCTATCCAACCGCACATTGGGTTTCTCCCTCCTCATCTGCTCTGTCCCAACCCCAGATTAGGTTTTTCCCTCCTTGCCTGCTCTGTCCCAAGCCCCATCTGGGTCACCTGGAGGATGCAGCAAAGACACCAAGGGCAGCTGGGCTGCCCTGGCTCTGTCACACAGGGATGGGGGAGCCGAGCTCACCTCTGGGCATGGACTTCATTGTGCTGCAGGAGATTTCCTGTGCATGGAAAACCCCAAATCCCAAATTGTGCTCAGAAGAGACCAACGCTCTCTCTGCCAGAGCTTTTCCCCATTTCTGTCAGCCTCCAGCCTGTGCCTTGCAGGGTGGGAGAGCAATTTCTGCCATTTGAGCTCCAGAAAAATGGGAGAAGAAAAGTTAAAGCTTTCCAAGGGCTTAGACAATCAGATGTGAGGTGTTTGGGGGTTAAAGGCATTTGTGTTATTTGGTGATGTCCTGGGCAAAAGTGCTGAGAAAATGGGGAGTTTGCTGTTCTCTTGGTTAGCTCTGGGTTCCTGATTAATGAGAAGCAGTGTAGAGTAATAAAGGCATTGTTAATTAAGAAAAATGAGGGAGCTGAGGAGGTACAAATCAGTGGGTAGTGACTGCTGAAGTCTTTCCCTCCCCTCCTCTCTTGATTCCTTTATATCTGCTGCTCCAGTTTGTTTCCATGGTGAGTGCTCCAGTGCTGGGCAGGGAAGGGCTGTCCCATGGCTTTGAGGGTGAAAAAATGAAATATTCCTTAAAAGTGTATTAGCCCATTATACCCCATTGACTGTAATTCAGGGAAGCAGGAGTAAGGCTGCTTTGTTAATAAAGGCTGCCTGGGGGTCCTTTATGGATGAATTTAGGAATTGTCTCAGCAATGCTGACAATGCCACCGAGTTTTTCTGCCTGGTTTTTCCTACACAATCCCTGTGTTTGCCACAGAGAGCACCAAAACAAGGCAAGGCAGCATCAGGCAAAGAGCTG